TTCATCCCTTTAACACTACTTATGATAAATTATATGGTATTAATTTCAAAGTCAAAATTGTATCGAAATTTCAGGAATTGAAGATTTTGGAAAAACTAGGAATACTTTATATAATATACAGAAATTGATTGAATTGGCAATATAAAGCATTACTGCAACTTTCGTTTTGTTACTATCATGTGACTCTTTGATCTTTGAACTGTTTGAACGTAGTTTTAAATGGCCGATGCGAGATCAGAGCCTATTTTCTCTGTCTCTACACCAGCCGACATCCGCCCAAATAGACATATTGCCAGGATCGTGGCAGCATTGAGGATCAACTGTCGGTTAATTTCTCATGTGAACCACTTGGCGGATTTTCCATGCCAGCCCAAACGACCTTACTGACACAGGAAAAGCAAGTGATGGTTATCCCAGTCTCTGTTTGATGATAGGAATAAAATCCGTACTAGCAAGACAATTCCTTATATCAAAACATCGTCCAAAGCATGATAAAATCGAGAGTAAAAGTTGTATTGTTGTGGACTCCTCTTAATGCAGGCTTCATATTCTTCCGATATTAAAATCGAAAATAAAAAAATATTGGTGTTCATACAAAATATAAAGGTAGGTAGGTAGATGACAAGTTAACGTTCGCTTCCAGCGGGTGCTGATATCGCAAACTAGGTAGTTGTTGGTAGTCGTAGTAGTTGGTAGTTGGATTGGATCAAATTGGATGGTTCGGTGTTGTTGGTTTGGTTGTTGATTCTTCGTTAGATCTGGTCGGGTCGAATGACATGGCGGTGAAACTCGGCCCTGGATGGTGTGGCGTGAGTTACTCGGTCTCCTTCATTCTTCCAAACTCGTTCTGATCATGGTATTTCTTGTTGATTGGTAGTCGAATGGTAGTCGTTGGTTTGGTTTGGTTAGATTATCTGTTATCTGTTGGAAAACTCGAAGACCTGAAAAAAAAAGAAAAAAAAGAAAGTGAGAAAAAGAGGGAGGAAAGGGGGGGGGGGGGAGGAAGCTTTCACAAAAGGGGGGGAGAGATGTTCTCTAATGTTTCTGCAATGAAACTTGTTAAATTGATTGGATATAATTAAAGAGTGTTAAGAAACTTTGAGTAAAAAAAAACTTAGCCTATCTGTTCAAGACAGATTTGGTTATAAAATGGAAGACTAGTTCCATTATCGTATACCAGTGGTCCGTGGGTGGAGCCAAAACATTCTGTATGGTTAGTGGTATGCCGTTGGTTTCCAGGTACTCTAGTAGTGGCTTACGAGCGGGTTTCAGTTCAGTGCATTGAATGAGGACATGCGACCTTGTGGCAACGTGGCCGCAACGACATTTAATGGCGTTGAACTGATGGTCTCGTAGTACGTTGTTGGTTCGGAGTCTGGTTGCCACTTTGCAGATGGCTACACATGGATGGTTTGGTTTCTCTCCCACCTCCTGAAGTAGCGCCTCATTCTTCGTACCTACAGCTGCCCTGGTGGCAATACGTATAGCTTTCATGTGTAGAACGTCGAGTTTCTTCAGTTGAGTATCACTTGCTTTACCATAGGCAATACAACCATAATCAATAACTGAACGAACCAGTGACCTGTACATCATCATTAGAGTTTCTCTGTTTGCTCCCCATGTGGTACCTGAAACATAACGCATAACATTTAAGATTTTTGTAGACCGGTTACAGATATAGTCAATGTGCGTACTCCAAGTCAGACACCTGTCAAAGTGTACTCCCAGGAACCTTACTGAATTCTCATGCTTAATCTTCACACCATTCAGTCTAAGGTCAATACTGTCGTGATCTTTCTTTCTGCTGCAGAACAAACCGACGGTTTTAGCTTCCGAAATAATGAAGCCCCAGTCGTTTGCCCATTTAGCAACTTGGTTCAGAGCAGTTTGCATTTGCATTGTGACCAGTCCATATCGAACTGTCATCTGCATATAGAGCCGTGCTAACCGAGAGCTCTATATGCTTTACATAATCCAGGGCCAGATCATTGATCATAATGCTGAAGAGGGTTGGGCTAATAACAGAGCCTTGCGGGGTGCCATTCTCCAACGAGTGCTTCTCGCTGAGA